AAGATAATTGAATCCTTTTTCTTTTATAGAATTATCGCAGAGAAATTTGCATGTATTGTAAGGATGATCAGCTATTGGATGCTTTTCACGTGATTGCTAAATGCTCTAAGTTAGAAAAAATTCGGGAAAGTGTGTTTGGAACTTCTATTATTCCGTTGGAGAATTTTTTGGAACTTATTACTAATATAAGTAATTTCGATTTAATTAATTTTGTTCAAAAAATTAAATTATTTTTAGGTAATCTTTGTTGATTTTTTATTTTGTTTTAGTGATCCCTTGTACGGAGTGACGTACATCGTTGTTTATTTTGCATATTGGAGTATTCGTTTTTGCCGAAAGGTGGCATTTGTTTTTTCCTTAAAAGTGTGCTTGTGGCTAAGAAGTGTTGGGAGACTATCCACATTTTGGATAAGATAATTGAATCCTTTTTCTTTTATAGGTGGGTGTAATTAATGTTTTTTTTCTTTATATAATGATGTTTTTGGTTGGATAGTTCTCCCCATGATGAATTTTGTTATTATGTTATATGTTTATATTTGGATATTTGGCTTTCAGATATTTATTTTTGATGTTTTTTGATGTTTATAATAATACTTGTATAATTTTTGTTTTGATTTATGTATATGTTAATTTTCTCTGTAATAATGGATGGATTATGATATTTTTTTGTAATGTACACGTAACGAATTATTGTATACCCCGCATCATGGGCTCTGCCTAGTATGTCTAAATAAATAAATAAATAAATATTTGTAATATTAATAGTTATATTCATTAAACAGGAATTAAAAGGAAGAGATGAGGAGAAAGGTAAAAGATATAGAAAAGTAAAGACAAAATATAAATGTAAACCATATTTTTATTTGCATTCTTCAAATGCAAATAAAAATATGCATTTGACAAATTGAATTTTTTGGAAATTTCCCATTGAATTTTAATGGAAATTTATTAGCAAATAGTATTTACCATATTTAGAATAAGCATCTTATGTAGACAAACTAACTACATACAACTTTAATCATAAAATAATCAGTGTAGTACATTTTTGCTCTTTATCAGACTATGGATTAATTCATTTAAAATCCCATCTGAAATGCATATATCATAAGTTCATCATCTGTGTTCTAGTATAGGATCTTCCAAAATTAATACTACTGTTTTAAATTATTGTAATTATAGTAATTATTATCCATGAAGAATGTGATGTACATAAATCGATAGAGTAGCCATCTGCGCTTTCTCCCATCTGCATTCAAACGTCTTAATATATACTACATCAAGAAAATGCCATAAATGAAAATGATGACCCTGCAGTAGAGAAAGTGTTTTAAGTTCTGCAGTTTGCCCAAGTTGGAATCACTCTTCATTGTGCAAAAACAATTCATTTGCAGGAGCCTTAGAATTGTGACTGCTGTGGGAGGAATGATGATGGATATACCATAGGGAGTATAGGAAAATTTTGAGTATTGGTCGGATGTGTGTTGTGCAACATGAGGTGCATGCATTGATAAAACGTAATCGTCAAATGCAAAACTTGGATGGTTTTTCCAATGTTTTAATTTATGTTACAATGTTTTTGGATAATAATTAGCATAATTACATATAGTTGTATAATCACAATATATATGCAGTCTTATAAGCAAAATTAGTATTAATCAAAACCATAATTTTATTTTTTAATTTTTATGGTAAAATTTATAATTATACTTAATCATAATATGAACATGTATAATAATTGATTTATCACTGAATAACATGAATAATAACATGAAACCAACATGAATAATAATAATAATACAGTAGAGCATCGATTATCCGACCCCCGATTAACCGTCACATCGGTTAATCGACTGTTCTAGTCGGCAAATTTCAAGTGTCCACTAGTGATGTGGCACTACAATATTTGGCTATGTCTTGGCTACTTTAATATTGTTTTTGCTAAATTTTTGCGTGTTTTAGCTGACAACACTGGCTTGACCATGAAAGGGAGGCCAGTATTTAAACAAGATTTAATTTTATAATTACGAGTGGTTGTTTTGTGAGCAATAAAATAATTTAAAAATATTTTTTAACGATACAATAGCTACGATTATTATTTTTTAAAAAATTTTGTTAGGCTTAACATCGATGAAAATTCAACGTGAAGTATGTTAATAGCGATATACTAATATACTAATTACATGGGATATACTAATATGCTAATATACTATACTAATAATGTATTTTTTTCATTCTTTTCGATTAACAGAATTTTTCAGTTATCCGACCAGCCTCAGTCCCCAATTGAGTCAGATAATCAATGCTCTACTGTAATAATAATAATTATTATTATAACTATTATATTTAAATTATATTTTATTTAATTATTATTGAATTTTATACATTGATGAACTATTTTAAAATTATAAATTCGTATTATTCTTACTTGTAAAAACACCCAATTTCCATTCTTTTTTGCATTGTTAATAATATTTTCTGCAACAGGACCTTGTCTTTGGCCTAAGGATACCGTATATATTCTAAAAGCAATAAACAAAAACATTGTTTAAGAATTGGTCTTTTCTGTGTACGAGTATATGACATAAATAAACTAACGAAAAAGTTTGGCACAGATAACAACATAAGGTCTTTTTTATGCTGAAAATTTATAAAAACTGAATCAGAGGAAGATAGCAAATTTGAAGAAAATTATGATATCACAATGTAATGTTTGTATCAATTCATGACTCCATCAATTCCAAGCGAAGTCAGATTTTTGAAGCATGAAAAAATTAAAAACAATAGTATAAAAATATTGTTTCTTTTATTTTTTTTGATTGATTCTATATTCTTAATTGCCATTCTTTTTGTCATGATTTGCCATTCACAGAAATCACACACAAAAACAGATAGAAGTCACGTTTCTCAGAGCAGAGCTTTGAGAAACAAGACTTGCTTGACCATCAAACTTGTACAAGGCAAAAAAAATGGGAATATAAAATAAAATATTTGACTTTTCCTCACAAGTTTACTCAACAACTGGAAGATAGTTTTGTTAATAGTTCAGTTTGGTGGTAGTTAGCTATCTTTGGTTCTCGAGTTCAAACTGTTCTCTTAATATTATTTACTAGCTCAATAGTCACTAATGTATTCACTTTGATTTCTATTATCTCAGCTCTTTTGACTTCACTTTATACATGAGTGAATAAATAGTTACACACATTAATTTGGTGAGTCAATAATGACTATTAAATTCCTCACATTATGATACTAATTTATCTGTAAAAGTTTTTTCATTGTTTGTAAATAACTTATTTTGTTGTTTTTGTAGTGTATATGTTTTGTATCGTTTGAGTCTACGTGCTTTGGCTGTGAGTTTTTGTTTTAGTGTATCAATGTATTCTGTAATGTGTGTGTTGTGATGATGTTCATATTTTGTGTGTGTTTTGATTTTCTTGAAAATGTTTTTGAGTTGTTTCTTTAAATTGGGTGTTATGTTGTTTTTAGTGTATTGTGTCAGCCTGCCTAATTGCTGTCTAATGTCATTTATTTGTGTTTCTATTCTTCACTGCCAGGCAGGCTTATGATAGAATTGTGTTTTGTGTGTGTTTGTCTGCGATTGTATTTTCAGTCCATGGTGTGTTACTACTGTTACTGCCCCAGCATAAACTAATGTATGAATGTCTGAGAGTGTAGAAATTGAATGAATATAGTTTGGTAGTAAGTGAGTGTTTACATAATTTAGTGTTTTTCCTACTACCTTTGACATGCTGGTTTTTGGTATTTGTAGTCTTTGTGTGGGATCTATGCCTGTATATTTAGTGAGTGTTTCCTGAAATATAAGTAAGAGCGTATTAACTAAATCTATGTCTATGTTATCAGTGATTGATGAGGAAGTGTCTGTAGTATCATTAGTGGTGGTTGTTGTATGTGTGCTATTATCAATGCTTGTTGCTGGATTATCCTGACAGGTTACATGATCTTCATTTGTGGGATAAAGTTGTTGTGTATAATTGTTCTTTTTTGATTGATAACACTTTGTTCAATGACAGTGAGGTGAGGATATTGTTGTGTGAATCTATGGTGTAGTTGTCTATATGCTGTCATGTTTGTTTCGAGTCTTGTGATGGTGTAGTAAGTACGGATGATAAACTTGTTTATTTCTATTGTCCATTTCATCCATTGGCGTGGTTTTCCAGCCTCTGTGTTCTGTGGATGCATTGCCACAGAAACATCAAGGCTAGGTTGATTCCTCACATCTGTTGAGGGCATTGCAGTAGCCATGCTTGGGCCGGTGCTGCTTCTGCCACTGGTAACCAAGGGAGACTGTGGCTTATTTTTTGAACATGAGCCTCTGCCTAACCCATGAACACTGACCTTGTTAACTTGGGCGACATCCGAGCCGGTATCACATTTAGACCTGGTTACTACCACGATAAATATCTCCACATAACGGTGTGGTCACTCTTAGTTTCATTTCTTCCCAAAGACCTTATTGGCATGGATGTCCCTACCAGGAGCTTGTGCTCCAGCCTGCATTGCTCTATGGATCAGTAAAATTACTGGGCTCTCCCACCATGATGAGGTGGTAACCACGGGAAAGTTGTTATTATTATTTAAAATCAAGATTTATACTCATAAATCAATTTATATAAATTAAAATACAGGAAAATAAAAACAGTTTTTTTTTGTTGATAACTTTAAAAAATTTTTAGATTTAAGTACAGAGCATTTCTTTCAAAATAAGTTTTGTGTTATTAATATATAAAAATAATATTTGTAAAGATATACCTGTCCAAGTAGTCTTTTTTGGAAGCAAACTTAAGAAATGCACTCATGGGATCTGATCCGGAACTCAAAATAAATATTAATGGCGTGATTTTAGACATATCTTGAAATAATGTTTGCAGATTGATTGGCGGATTTTCAATAAATAGAGGACCCATGTGATGAATAATGAATTCAGTAATGGCCGGTATAATCTGAAAAAATCAATGATTAACATGATAAAACTATAAAACAACAATTAATTATATACATAGTTAATATTACAGTAAGGTCTTGTTTTACATGAGATTGATATATGTGGATTCTTGGCTATGAATGGATAAATAAGAATGGATTAACCTAACCATTTGCCCTCCACCGAAACGGTGGAGGGCAAATGGTTAGGTTAATCCATTCTTATTTAATACAGTAGAGCTTCGTTTATCCGAATTAATTGAGAAATGGGGTTGTTCGGATAACTTATTTTTCGGATAACCGATTATGTACGAAAAAAACATATTAACCTGTCCCGTGTTGAAATTTTTCTCTGTTGCGTATCGCTTCGCGTTGAATTTTCGTCAATGTTAAGCCTAACGAAAATTTTTTAAAATAATAATCGTGGCTATTGTATCGTTAAAAATTATTTTTTTATTTTGTACAAACAAAATAAATATATTGAAAAATATAAAAACAAAAAAAATATACTTTAGAAGTTGATCTACTATCAAAAACGTTTGATTCAACACGACAGTCCTCAGAAAAACATCACACAATAGTGCCAGTGCTGCCAGCTAAAACACATACACCAACAAAAAAATATTGGAGTAGCCCAAGATATAGCCAAAGATTGCAGCGCCACAGCACTAGCGAAAATTTAAATTTGCCGACTGGAATGCTTTCGGATAACTGACTTTCGGATAAACGACGCTCTACTGTACTAATGAAACTAATTCAAGTTGACAAAATGATGCTTATCTGACTGATTCAAACACAGAGGGCTATCAAATGCTACTCATTTGTTGAGTATATTGGTTTGCATGTTTTTCTGAAATGGTATGTATAATACAGTATAATAAAGTTTTGCTCTTTAGTCCAACATTAGTGAATCAACCAAATTTATTATAGTAAAAGTATGTTAAATAAAACATTTTAAACATTTATGCAGCCATTTTTAACTAATAGAAAAATGTCTAGGCAATTGTCTGAACTTATTTGGAGTGGAGCACAAATTTATACTTCAATTTTTTTTTTTTTGATGACATGTAACACCCATGTGAAACAAGACCACACTTTAGAGAATATCTAATTAAAAATAATTTTAATTTTCATTTGATTTCATAAATAAAGTTTATGTACAGAATTTTTTTTATGTTATTTATTGTAAATAATAACACCAAACTATACAATTTAACATTTATAAAATATGAAAAATATAAAATTTTATAAATCTTAACTTGATTTTAAATATGGTAAAAGCTCATTTATTTCACTATCTTTGGTGTAAACAATTTCTGGTCACATAAGTAAAGTGGTCGTCAATATGGAATGAAAATATTGAAATACAGAGTACTGTTCTGAATACTGCTAAAAGTTTAATACAGCTTATAAAAGTAAACAAAAATAATAATAATAAATTCACATAAAATTGTGAGATTACAAGGGCACAGGGTCAATTCCCTAATTGCCACTTACATGTCAAGTTGGTAAAACTCGCCCATGTTGTCGTTTGGATGACTTTTATCGAGTAGAGAGGGAGGTGAGCAAGTCGGCAGGCATCCTTTCAGAGACAGGAGACAGGTTTAACAAAATAACAAAGCATTTATTATATGGCTAACACTAAAATACAGGAGGCTACACAGAGTTAAATGCATATATCTTTAGGTTATATGGGCTAGATGTGATTAATGTAAGATTATAAAGTCTATGATTGACAACTGCTTAGTCTATTCTATGACAGCTATGCCTACTTCTGTTACAAGAGAGAGAGAGGTTGCAGTCCGCTGATAATTATCTCTAAAGTTGGAGGAGTCCTATACAAGGTGATGACAGTTCTTTATGGAAGCGTTGGGCATTGTAGACGTCTTCTACTGTTGTCTTCTCCGGGGACTAGGTCAAGTCCGTTGCATGGAGGTGCGGGAGATGGGGAATCACTAAGACCGAATACAAGTTCCGTGTGCGAACTCCTGAGCTTCTGGTGGCTCGCACCTTTTATATAATTTTAGTGGGAAATCTAACACGTGATCGACTTTTGTTGACATTGATGGTGCATTCTTGACAGCTATGTGTCAACTTTCCCACTGACTTGTTACTACAACCAGCGACCTCTGATCTAATTTCTACCTCTCCGTTTTTTCTAATGAAGATGTTTACATTTTGAAAACAACTGACATTAATTTTTGATTTTAAGAGCCCCGTAAAAATCTGTGGGCTCACAAAATACATGGTACACATACAATGAATGCAATTTTTTGCAATAGGGTTCATTCAAGTACTATACAGAATAGTATGAAATGAAATTGAGACAGACTCAATATGTTTATGAAAAGGTAATAAAAGTTTTATTTAAATACTGTATTTTAACAGGAAAAGTATGAAAAAAAATTATTATTAAAATTAATAACTGTAAATGTGTAGAAGTGTCCAGTTTGAAAAAAAAATGTTAACAATTAAACTAGTTTCACATTAGGCTGATTGATATCTTTCTTTGTTCAATGTTGTGAATGATGTATCAGTGACATTAATTGATCATCACTAATGTATTACACATAATTATGTGAGATCGGACTTGGAAAAAAAAATTTTTTTTCGGGTGAAAAATTAATTAAAACTTGCTATAATTTTTCCCATGATTGTTAAAAGTGTAAAAGATAGGGTTTTATCCCTCTGTGGAGTCACTTCCCTTTCAAGATGAGACATCGAATGTGTCACCAGGAACTTGGCGACAAAAAACTGTTATTGGACATAGGTGCTGCAACATTGCCAAAAAAGGGTCAGGGTGAAAAGAGGGAGGACTCCCAATAAAAGACAAGGACTGATGATGACAAGGGTTCATTCATCAGGGAGAGCACATTCGTTTATCTTTCGGGAGAGAAATCCTTGCACCAGAAGTTTGTCCTCACTGGGTTGCCTCTTGCTTGGATACCTTCAGGATACTCCTCCATCTAGAGTGAACTCCTTTAAATTGACTTCTTTGAAAGTGAACTCCTTCCATCCAAGAGATCTCCATTTAAGTGAACACCAACAGTCCTTTGATTCGTCTCAGATTCCTTACCAGGTATCTATAGAATCTTATATGTAAGCTCTCTCTCTCTCAATGTAGAACATGAATTTGTTAAATCAGTTAAATCGTAAACACAACCTTTACTTTAATATTAATCTTTTGTGTAATTAGCTTAATAAATGGAAATTGTTAAATTTGTGTTGGGTGCACTTCCTCAATCCGTGCCATCTATTGTGTCGGATCTAACACTTACAAACGCAATCGCTTGCGTGTACAAGATGGAAATTGCGGCCATTTAGGTTTCTGTGTCTACCCAGAAGACACAGTGGTGTCAGTCCTGACAAACCTGTCATCGCAACGTGGTGTTGACCTTTCGGTCCCATAGTGCCAAAGCATAGGGGGAGCTTTGCGCATCGTCACAATTATATTTTTACAAAATTTAATCAGATATTCTGTAAAATATTGAATAAATATATAAGTAATTTGAATGTATGTCTCTTTAATCCGAATAAATAAATAAATCCGGTAGACTTCCTCACAGCTATCAGGTTAGGTACTCCTTTATTTCAATTTACAAATGCATTTCGAGCCTATGCAGTATCTAAGCCCCTCCTCACTGTAATGCTCAGAAGGCAGAACAGCGCTTTTCAAATTATACCAGTATACATTCAATGAATGTATAATGGTTGTGTTGTGTGTGGGTGACAAATGTAATACTGTGAATAATAGAAATTAAAACATTATGTATGTATGGTTTTTTTATAATTGTTAAATTATTTACTTATATTTGTAAAACTGTTACTTTTATTACAGTAATTCCGATAGTTTTTAAAGGATACACCATGTTTTAATAAAAAATACCTTGCATGGTATAGTCATATGTCAGAAAATATCATGTTGTTACTATAGTGCTGTGAGTTTATAAAAAGTGTATATCTACTGATTTTAACGTCAATTTTTACTGAATCTTTGTACTATTGTCACCCGATACAAACTCATGATTTTATATTGAAAAACATATCTAGGAGTACCATATAAGTGTACCAGTATAATTTGAAAAGCACTGTTCTGCCTTCTGAGCATTACACTGAGGAGGGGCTTAGATACTGCATAGGCCTGAAATGCATTTGTAAATTGAAATAAAGGAGTACCTAACCTGACAGCTGTGAGGAAGTCTACCGGATTTATTTATTTATTTAGATTAAAGAGACATACATTCAAATTATGTATATAACAGCTACCACATTTGACATTGAGATAAATATATGAGCTGTTGATTTTGAAAGTGGGACAAGTCCCCTCTAAAAAAAATATAAAGATATGATGAATTTATTAACCTATGTACTACCCATTCATCATGAATACTTAAAAATCTCACCATCTAAACAAAGTAATATAATTATATGCACGCAACTTATTACTGAATATTTTTTCTTATTTTATGCACTTTTTCCTATAAAATTAAATTTACTTTTTGTTTTATTGTAGCTTTTTGAAAAAAATATGGAATGTTGAAATAAAATAAATAAATGAATAAAATATTCAATTTTTTTGTTATTATAAATGCATTTCATTCAAAGAAAATCAACATTTTCAAAAAATAATTGCTTTTGAAAATGAGGCAAGTCCATTGGTGCATACCAAAACTATAATTTTTGCACCTAACACAGTAAACCATTATAGCATATTAAATTTACATGAAATAAGACCAAAAAAGTATAAAATAAGTCTATTACTATTTACAAATATTTTTAAACCCATTGAAATGCAAACCATTAAATAGCTAGCAATAACATAACATGGACTTGCTCCACTTTCAAAATCAGTAGCTCATATAAGGATTGCCTAATTCAGTGTTTCTCAACGGGGGCGATATCGCCCCCATGTGGGCGTTTTTCCATGTTGAGGGGGCGATTAGTATTTATATTTTATATTATAGTATTTATATTTTATATATAACAATTTATATTTTGGGGGCAAAAAACAATTTTCTGG